TTGGACTGTATAAATATACTTATGACTTACGCTTCCGCTTATCTTTTGATGACGTGTGATGATGTTTTTGATATCTTTTGACAAACTCATCACGTTGACAACTTTTGAACAAATTAAATTTTCAGTAACCGGACGTTTTTATTAAATTAAAACAACGGTTTTTCTAAGTTAAGCAAGGATTTTTCACGGTAGCACCCCGAATCAGTTTTCGCAAAGTAAAAATGTTTTATTTTCACAGACTTTGCGAATTATTGCGCTACTCTGATTTTACAGTAAGGTGGGGTGTTACAATTGGTATCAGAGCACGTTTCTGCGTCTCTGATAAGTTTTTCAGTCAGTGATTTTTCAGAAAAAACCGAACCGTCATGTTCACGCCCCGCCGACGACAGGTAAGTGCTGTTGCAATTCAGTTTTTCAGTTATAAACATATTACTTTGTCTATGCTCAGAATTGAGGATCAGGATTTTAGTTAAGATGCTCTATTCAGATTCAGACCTTAGTGTTGGACATGACTCTAGAATTCAGGCATTCAGATATGACTCTAGACGTTAGGATCTTCCTATATGACTCTAGAGTTCTTCAGGTTTCAAGTCAGTATTTATCGGCCATTTTTGGCAACTCGTCAAGAGATCTGTGTGCCTTAGTAACCAGTCAGTAATGTTATCATGTATTCAGTAATGTTAAATTTTTCCCAATGTTCAGATGTCGCCCGTAGGAAACCCGATCACTCAGTTTTTATTCAAGCTACAGTGGTCGCACAGTTCCGCGACTATCATGTTGAGAGATTCTTCGGCCGAGGAAATCCCCGTATCAGGGGCAAGTGAATTCAGAACCGTAGAAAAGGAGTGAGTTTAAGAACTCTAGATTCAATTCTAGACTTATTCAAGCCAAGTTAGTAACTTGTCAGAAGATTTGTAAAGCATTGTGCTAAACAAATCTTAAGAATCATGTTTCTCAGAAATTTTTATCGAGAACTGCCATTCTGTCAATCAATTGGCAGACTTCAGGGAGAAATTCCTTGATTTAATTCGAGGAATAGACGCAAAGTTCTTAAATCAGATCAGTAAATCATGTTCAAGGCAAGAATTTTCATGTTAAAGGTTGTTATAATTCTCAAGTCATCGTTAAGGTAACGGTTTCCAGTGTATAAGAGTCAATAGTCCGGGTTACCATGGAGGCT